GTTGCGAACTTGACCGGAACCCACTGAAAGGCTGATCGCCTTTTTCGAGTTTTGTGAGCCTGGCTTGCAGCAAACAAACACCCTTTGTCGTCTGGTTTTGCACGCATAGCCAAGTGCTTGTCTCAAAAAATGCGATGCAAAGTGTGGCCCGTTCTGATCCGGGCAACCTGCCAATATGCTTGTTGCCTCTACATCCATCAGGCATCCCTCCAAGACTGCTGAACATATGTTGAATGAAAAACACATAATGTAAGACGAGTAGAACCTCGCCAAAATCGTCAATTTGCCGCGTGCTTCCTGCTTGGTGCCGGCCAATGCTTGCCACTCCCTGGGCACACCTCAGGCCTGGGCCTTGTTTTGAGGCCTGCGTAAGTGGCCCGCAACATAAAAGGCGCGCTTTAGAGGAGCCAAATCTGAAATCACCCGCTCATGGTTGCAGATGTTCTTTAGTGACATCCGCCGCCACAACCAGCCCACCCGCTGACAGAGCCTGTGAGAAGCAGCTACGACAGAGCCTGTGACAGGCAGCTGTGACAGAGCCTGTGACACCCAGCTGCGATGCAGCCTGCGACAGACAGATGTCACAAGGAATCCTGATGAAGAGATACGACAGCCAGGTGACAGCTTGCGACGCGCAGCACCGGGCCAGGACTAGCTGCGACAGCGCGAAGCCTGAGGCTCCCGCCAGTGGCCGGGCCAGGACAGCCGCAACAGCCCCAGGTCACAGCTGCAACAGTCCCGAAAACTCAGCCGCCAGAAAGCGCGCGTTTCGCGCAGGAAAAAGCGTGCAGCTGCTGAAGCTACTCCGGGCCACAAGACCGATTGAGCGCTTCGATGTTCTTTTTTTTGTTTCCCCCTTTTCGGTTTTTGAAACCTTTGGCCCTCACGTTCAGCTGAGTTTGAGCTGCTATCAGCCCCTGTAGTTGAATCTTGGGGCTACAGATGGTGCGTCCTCCCGAAGCTTGCCTGGAAGGATCAGAGCACAAGCGTGCTTTTGGTATCAGCTATGGCTGCTATTGATGAGGGGTAAATGCTGCCTTGGTTCGACTGAATTTCTTTACCGTCGCATCGCAGCATGCTTGGGGCCCCACACGCAGTCGGATGGACCTGCCGATCGAAGTCGAGTATATCTGTTGTTTGCTTGCTTGTTTGATAGGCTGCTTGGTGGGTTGATTGTTTGGTGGGTTGACTTTGCCACAACTCCAAATGGCCGTGGGTCAACATCAATAGGACCATTTCGGGGTCGGTGCACCACCCATTTTAGTATTTTTAGTGGGGATTGGGATGTTCATTGGGGGTACGATTCGGGTTTTGACCCACAGCCAAATGCATTCGAAGCCGACGGAACTCAGCACCTGTTTGCCCGTCTCCATGCATCTGGCCGTAGCCATGGTGCCGTGGATCTCGATGACATGATGGCTGCCAGCTCGTTGATGCAGGGAGTCAATGTTCCTAGGGGAACCCGCTCAAAATAGGCTTGGAACCCTCGCAATTGGTCGCTGAACAACCCGTAACTCCCCCAACAAAACAACCCCGAAAAGGCCCTCCCGAAAAAGAAAAGGAACGACACCCAAGTCTTGTTTTCGGCGCTTGGTACTCAGTTCAGAGAAACTAAAAGGAAGACCACGGACATCTCCTATTATCTGTCTGCCAGCAACCCAACCCCAACTTGGGATAGATTGTCACAGCCTCAAGCCTAGAGCCCGAAAAGGAAAACCCTTCGAAGGGCTTGGACATCTTTCACTTCATGACAGCTGCCTAGCACCTGCCCGCGCGACAGGGCGACATCCAAAAAAATCGCCGCCAAGTCGTTCCCCGTGGATAGAGAATTACCACCATATAGGACACCAGACATGTTTTTACTGAGAAAATGAAGCCATAAACCCACAGCCATATACAATCAAAACTGTTTTTAAGCAGAATGAATGAATGAATGAATGAATGAATGAATGAATGAATGAATGAATGAATGAATGAATGAATGAATGAATGAATGAATCAATGAATGAATGAATGAATGGATGGATGGATGGATGGATGAATGAATGAACTCCTGGCGCCATTTTCCATAGTCAAGGTGCATTTAGGGAGAATCCTCCCGGATCCTCCCGGATCCCTGGGTGCCCTGTATCCCCGCTGGTTGGTTTCCCTGACAAACGAACCACGGCCAAGTTCTCACGTATCAAACTGCATCGCTAGCCAACTGGACGTGCTCGGCCTCGCCAGGGCCTTGCGCCCGAGCTACGCTCGAACTTTCAACTCAAGAAGGCCTGTTTGAATGGCCTGCACATATATATATATAGATATATGGAGAAATATATATATATATATATGTGTGTAAAAAAACATGACTCACTCAGCCGCCATTCTTTTCGGCCAGGTGCACCATCATGGTGCAACATGTTTGTAGAAAGCGCTCTGCCAAGGGAACCAGGCACATGTCGCGCCCGCGCCGGCAAAAAGTGAAAATGCCAAAGCCTCCCTGTGAGAGGTGGTGGGGAGGTGGTGGACCTGATCAATCTTGAGATGTCAAACGGCCCCATATGAATTTTGGCATCAAAGGTCAAACAGCTACAAGTAGCAACAATGACTCACTCAGCCGCCATTCTTTTCGGCCAGATGCACCATCATGGTGCAACATGTTTGTAGAAAGTGCTCTGCCAAGGGAACCAGGCACATGTTGCGCCCACGCCGGCAAAAAGTGAAAATGCCTCCCGACGCAAGCACCAAAGCCTCCCTTACCCACTGCCACGCAGAGTATTGGCCGCAATGGATGCAAATTGGCCAGCCATGGGACAAGGATATGGTTGTGCGCGCACTTAGCTCCCTCTAGCTTGTGGCGTTCCTTCAGGACCTGAGACTCTGCCTGCAACTTCTTCGACACGTGTTGTGTCAGAGCCGGGGCAACAATTGCCCCGCCGTGCTTGAACTTGTCGCCAAGCCAGAAGTCGGCTCCCTGATACGACGGAGCAGCAGGATTGTACGCATGAGCCTCCCCAATGAGCTGCCGTCTCCTAGCCAGGAGTTCGACTGATGCTAAGTTGGAAACATTGAGAGCATCATAGCAGATTGCAATGTCCAATATCTTGGCCAGCGTCTCATCCTCAAAGACAGTTCAGGACCCGTCTGGAATTTTGCTCTGTTGGACCCATGCCAAATGCTGGGCATAGTTGGACTCAGAAATTGATTGAACACCTTTCAAAGACTCGAGAGTGGCCCGGGGATGATATAGAAAGTCATCCATTTCAACTTGCACCATTTCGCCGACTCTCTCCCTAATGGACCTTTGTCTTTCGCCATTGACTGAGTATTTGACAGACATCGTTCGAATGTTATGAGCCGCGACTCTGTCATCACCGTCAATGGCCTCGGAAATCCTGGCCATCTGCATCTGAGCATCGATCGCAAAAGGCGCCCAACACTTCTGGGTCGACTCTCCGAACCATGGCTGTCTGCATGACCCAGCACTGTCGGCAATCTGAATCCGCTCGCCGATATTGTGCACCTCGACCATCGTACACAGAACCCACACAGCCTGATCAGGCTGTGCGCCAACGGCGGCAGCCGGGACCACTCCAGGGACTGCAACGGCAGGAAGACCTCGATGAAGTCTTTCTTGATCCGCAGCACGACGTCCATCCTGAAGACGACGGGCCAACTCTGCCGCAGTCATAGGAGCAAAAGCATAAACCGCTGCCGCAGCAACACGGCCGGGTGGATACCAACCCCCAGGCGGGGCATACTGGCACCCGACCAAATCAGCGTTACTTTGGTGAAGAACTTCAATGTAGTGGTCCAAATCTGGGGTGAATGTGAAAAACTCATGCGTGGTCCTATCAACCACCCCCGTAATCAATCTGGTGTGTATGACGTGCACTTCACCATAATCAAGATACACCACATCTCCGGGTTGAAGATCGGGAGCGGCAATCATCCCTTAATCTGCAATCCTTTGGGGGAATTAAAGACCCCTCTGGCCTTTCCCTGTCCTTTTTGGTGGCTAACCACCAAAGCCAATTCCTGCTCGTCCGCCTTTGAGCTCCAAGAAACCTTGAAGACCAGGGCCAGGTTGGCTAGCAAGATCGCACTCACCACCAAGGTACAAAGGATAACACCAGAATGAGGAGTCCACCCAGCCGATACAGGAGGGAGCTGCTCAATCTGGTGGTGGCACGTGCAGCTGCAATGGCAAATGGCTTCTTCCTTCTGAGGAAAAAGCCCCCGCAGGTACCAGCCAATGACAACACCACTCAAGACGCAAAAGAGGTGGCGTGCATCCATGGGATCCCCTACATGCAACCTGATCAATCTTGAGATGTCAAACGGCCCCATATGAACTTTGGCATCGAACGTCAAACAGCTACCAGCAACAATATAGATATACATATGTGGTTAATGAACATGGCTCTAGCGTTATAATTACCTTTGCTGATGACGACTTTCAGGCCATGTTTTTTGCCATACCTGGTCAATCCAGCAAAGCCACGGCTGAGTAGTCCACCCCGAACAAACAAGGACCCTGACAAAAAACTGGGTCAAACGTTTTGCGGGAGTCGACACGCCCTAGAAGGTGACGCCTCTTCTAGTTCCTGCTGTGGTTCTAGCAATTCCCTAGGTTCTTCTGAAAGGCTTTGGAAAGGAAACCGGTTGCGGCACATCCGCGTGACTTCGTTTTTCTAACAACTTTAAAAGGCCACATGAATGGCCAAAGAATCAACTCAGTGCATCCCAGAGTCTGAGTGATAACCTCAGCGCAATTTCGAGCTGTGTGTGGGCCCTTCGCTGGCTTTCTCATCAAGTCTTCAGCCCCGGGAAAACAAACTTCGTTGAGGCACCTTCTGATCTGTGGCTGGAGGTAGACATTGGGCACAAACACTTCGCTTTGGGAAACCATGTTCAGCATCTGTGGGAAAGTCAAACTGCTTATCACCCCTAGCACAAGTACTAGGGTCCTCGTTCGTCAAACTCAGTGATGCACTATGCTCGCCAGCGCTTTCGGAGATATCACGTATGCAAGTACACAGGCATGTCTGCAAAAAGACAACACAACATCATCCGCAGAAACAGCAAATGGAGGATTGTTTAAGAAGTTCATAGCGAAGCTTTCGAAAGCATGCGGCGAAGTAATCAGCTACAAACTCCTTGAAGGGACGTGTTGATCAGCTGCGTGCGTACCTGTCAGAACTGGACACCTCCTGGAAATAGGTTGTTTCATGAAAATGGAATCTGGGGGGTCCTCGAAATAAGTTGTTTTATTCAAATGGAATCTGGGGCGGGGTTCAAGCGTGCTTTGCTGACAATCTAAAAACAACATGAGAAAGATCAAAATGTCAGAAGCGGCGAAAACATGGCACATATGAGGATGTGCTTGTCCTAGTGTTTCTGCGAAACCAATGTTGAGGACCACCCATTAGGGTTCCTAGTTTCTTTTGGAGACATTCAACCACTTCGCCCTTTAACAAATCACTCGAGACAGTTGTAGGGAACCCAGCAAAACGTCCAAGTTTTCCTGAAAAGGAAACCAACAGGAACTCTTGATTGGGAATTTGTTTTCGGTTAATTCGATTTGGAGAAGCCACAAGACCATTTGCACACCTTGGTCCGACAGATTGGTCACCAAAGGACACAGAACCCAATCAACATTTGGGCTGAGCCTTTATTCTCATCTACAGTTGCAGTACAGCATAGAAGTGCAATACAATTTGCAGATTTTACCAAAAAAACAACGCCAAGGGGCACCTTTCAAACAAATACCCCAACTGATTCTTCACAACTCCCCATACGCTTGTATACCCATAACGATCTGCATATCAGATTCAGGACCAAACCTCTGAGGCGCCAGAGCTGATCGGCCAGGCTTTTGATTGCAGGGAACTCGTTTTATGGCGGGGGGTGGTTAATTTTCAAGGGAAACCAAAGGGGAAACTGAACCGCTATTCCTTGCTGGTCCTCAGCAGGGGGGGTGTATCAGGGGAGGGGGGGGAGGGGTTTTGCGGTAGTTTTGCTTTGAATGTGCAGGGAATGAGGGAATTACCCCGAGCTATGCTTGTGGTTTCCTTGGGAATCCCAAAACGATTCATTTCACAAGCCTTCCAACCCGCCAACCGATGAACCAATAACCCGCCAACCGATCAACCAACCAACCAACCAACCAACCAACCAACCAACCAGCCAACCAACCAACCAACCAACCAACCAACCAACCCACCAACCAACCCACTTGGCCAAAGGTGCCGTGTTCAGCTTCCCCATCTCCTGCAGCTCTACGAGGGCTCTGTGCGCGCCGTTGGGCTCTGCCTCCTTGAGCCCATCCTCGGGATATGAACCCCACTGATCCCTGATCCAACCTGGCAGAGAGGCTAGGGACAGCTTGGAGCACTGAGCCTGGGAGAGTATCCAAGTTGAAGACGTAATTTGAGAACGCATTTGTTCCCCTGATCCGCCGATTTAAAAAAAAAGGCCACCATGACTTCGCACCAAAGACTTGAAGGGGGGTTTGTGATGTGCGCCACCAGCTTAGCAGGGATCGTCATGAACCCCTTGTGAATTCAAGCAACCGTGAAATTATGGACCGGAGAGACGGGTTTTTGACCATGGCTGTGCAGTGGCTTTGCTCCGGGTGGAAATGTGGATGGCTCAAATTGGCCAGTTGAGCTTGATCCCCGGATCCGCCTACTTTTTTTTGGTTTTTTTGATGGCCACCCGTCTTGAAGGCAACCACTTTCTTGACAACAAGGTTTTGATCCTTGGAATCAAGAATATTTGGCTGCCCTTTACCCCAGTGAGCACATATAGTTTGGTGGCGGTCGTTTGGGTCGTTTCTCTCGTCGCAGGGATTTGCTTGTCCGTGGACAGCCCCCAGCCACTGAGCTGTGTTTTGGAAGCCGCTTTTCGGTGTTCCATGCATAGTGCTGGGGAACCCGAGCCATATCCGTTTGAGTCTTGTGCTGTTCCTTGGAAAAAGTCGGGGGGGCGGGGGGGTCAAAATATGAATTTGGGGTGATCTAAATTCCTGGGCCCCGAATGATCATCGGTAACTTTTACCCTTCAGTGGACTTTTCTTCTGGACAAGTGGACCAATGAAGGATTGTTGGGCGTGTCTTTCTCGTTACACCCCCCCAAAATGGTCTTTTTCCTTTTGGCGTCCCTTTAAAGCCAACCAACAAAGGGTTACCATCAAATCAAGACACACCCATACTGTTGATGGACGAAATCCTGCACCACCTAGGAAACCCTGCAAGAATGATTCCCCTGTACATGCCAGCAAACAGTGGTTTCCATGGTTTCAGAGTGGTGCGAAATGGATTTCGTCCATCCACAGTATGTCATCAGATCCTTCTAACATCGTTGCGGGATCATGGCCCCTTCAGCTTCGCTTTTGGTGCTTTGCCCGGTGCTTTGGTGTTGAGGGTGGGAAACCCCATTTGAGTCATAGTCAAAACCCAGTAGTAAAATGGTCTACCCAGAACCATGTAAAGAATTAGAAAGGTGGCCGCAGCTACTTATGGTTGGGAATGTCCCTTACTAACCTTCATCTACCCGGGTTGTGATTGTGGCTCATTTACCCTCTACAGGACTGGATAGGGGTCCTTTGGATTGGTTCGAGGTGGCTTCCCAGAAAGAGAGGGTCAACTCCGAATCCAAGCCAAATCCAAGCCACGAATCAGGGGGAGGCTGGTTGACACCCACTCCGTGAGTGGATTGGCCAAGAGCAGCTCAAACTTGTTGTTCGCCACTAAAAATATGACGTTATCAAGTTCACGAACTCAGGGAGTCATGATACGGGAAGATGCTTGGTTGCTGGTCTTTGTTGCTGTTGACCCCTCTGCAAAAAGTTTAACTTTTTGTGGGCTTGGTGGAAAACCCCTTCATTTCAACCAAAAAGTTAAAGAAGATCCAACTCAATAGCAGTCAAGTGGTTGTTTTCGAAGGAAACCACAAGGACGACAACCATGTTTAGGGGCGGGGCCCTGAATTTTGAGAGAGGCCCACATACAGCCAAGGAGTCCCCTAAGTTTCACTCCCATATCTGAATCACTGAAAAACAAATAGGTTCGACGAATCAACCCTGATGTTGCCAAGCACCATCTCCAAAACAAGAAGAACAGCCAGGAGTTTTCTGACCTTCACAAATGGGCTTCCCATCCCAAAACGCACGCGACTAGAAACCCCTGGAAAAAGTTGGAGTTGGAGAAGCCAAAGCAACCCAAAAGATCGGAAGGTGAATGCTGTCAGGCCGCCATTGCTGCTTTGTCTCGTTGACTGGGGCCCACTGGACCCAAGGACCCTACCCCCTACTCAAAATACCCCTTTTTTTCAGTGGGTATTTTTGGGAAACCCGATCGGTTTTCCATGGTAAATTTGCCTCTTTTTTTAGCAGAGGGTCGACATGATACCCTGAAAAAAGAGGGTATTTGGAGTAGGGGGTAAGCATTGTCCTGAAGCACATGTGCTTCTTTGCTCTGTGTACATGCATCGGTACGGATCAGCTCCGTTGGGTGACTCATCTCCAATGAAAGCTGCTCACCAGACTTCTGCTTTGCGCTGGTGGGGTTCGCACCTTGTTCCAAAATGCTCAAAAAGACAAAAAAAAAACACTGTTCTTCTCAACAACCCCCTTTGTTGGCTTCTTTTGGATTTCCCCTATTCAAACACAAATCAATCCCCGCCGCCTGGTGAATGGTGGCCCAAAGAGCCAAGGCTCCCTGAGGTGCATACCTCCCTGGTTCGCCAGGTGCACTTCCAGCGCCAGCTCGCGGCCCATTTGCCAGAAGAGATGTGGGCTTCTGCCTCAGAGGTTTTCATTGAAAACCCAAACAAGGGAATGGTTCCTGAACCATTCCCTTGAACACTCCCCTGGTTGGGTTCCTGAACCATTCCCCTTGAAAGCTCCCAAAAGCTTTGGGGCTTCCCTGGCGACCCTGAAGCCGATCCAAAAACGTCCCGAAGAAATATGCCAAGCCCTGAGCAGCTTCAAACAGGATTGCTTCCTTTCGGAAGCAATAAGTCCCTAAGCCAATGATCCCCCATCAGATTTCGGGGGGACCGTTCCCCAACAATGAATGCGAACATCCATCGACCTGTGGAATCCAGGGGAACGGAAATCGCGGCACTGGGGTGGGGTTTGTGACGTGATTTGATTTGTGGAAAAACAGCGAGGTGGCTTTTTTGGGAGTGTTGCCTGGACAGGGATCCTTACATTATACACCTGAACATTGCCTTGTAAATGGTGGTTTCCCTTTGTCTTGGTGGACAAAAGCCATGTTTCAAATGGGCAAAATGTATCTTTTAAGGAGCCCTGCTGGATTGCGGGGAATTCCATGAGTTGCCTGATGCTTCACGTGGGATTGCCGTCTGGCTTGCAGGGTGGTAGCTGGAAAGCCAGTTTCTGGGTGGGTCTTGCTTTAGTACTCGGCAGCATGGCTTTCCTACACCCGCACAGGGAAGCTTAAGTGGATACCGGCCACAGTGCTTGTCTGATCGAGCGGGCACGTCGACCAAGTGATGACCCACTGGAAAGGACACGACGAATGAATCACCGGTTCCAACACTGAACTGAGCTTGAGACGCAGAGCGGCAACCCCATGGTCCAGAAGAAAACAAAAAACAACGTTTTGGATGCTTTCGGATGGCCCCTGCCCCCTGATTAGTCCACTGCTCTCCTCTCCAGCCTTCTCCTGCCCCCTGTTGTCAAACCACAGGGGTTGATTCCCCATTCCTTTCAGCCATCGTTCTTTTCAAAAACCAGCCATTTCCCCAGAGTTCTTGGTGGCTTTCTAGAAAGAAGGAGCTCTGGAAAGAATGGAAATGGAAGTTACCCCTAGAACCATGAGCTTTTCTTCTCCCAGGGGCAGCAGAGTGCCAGGGAGCTGGCCTTGAAGGCTCGATCGTTTACTAGGTCCTCCAGTAGTGAGGATAGAATAAGCGTACCAACTTGTTTGTGTAGTCTATTTTGAGTAAAGAACATGTTGTGGACATATTTGCGGTTTTAGGCTAGCCGCTTTTTCCCGAGTTTTGGAGGAGCACGGGCTCCGTAAGACTATCAACATAATTGCAACTTTAGTAGTGGAAGAAGTATTGGCAATAGCTTTGTTCGACTAACACAATTGTGTTGCTTTGTTCTTTCAAATGGACCGCATTTCGTGGAGGGTGGGTGGGCGGTTGTCAAACAGAGATCAGGTCAAACCTTGTGGACCCCTATGTTGCGAGTACTGGCTGGGTGGTGTCATTAGCTTGAGGGCCTGAGGTCTTAAGGGGAGAGTGATGCACTTGAAGTCTAGGTCTCCTTTTCTAAAAATGACTAACTTTTAGTGGGTCAAATTCGGAAACTACCACTAAACGCTGAAAGGCTAAAAGGCCAAGAAGATGGCTGGGAGCCACCAAGTTTCGGAGAACAAAAAGATGGCACTGACAACTGATGCGATCCCTGAACCCAGTACCAACCTTTGCCCAAACTGACCAAACAACAGCTATGCACATGGATTCGCCCGGTCTTCACAAATTCCCCGAGTAACTCGGCGTCGGGTTTCACCAGAAAGTCTCAACCACTTCGGGTCCCGGGCAGAAATTGCTGTACTCGCAGTAGACGCCTGGATTGTACTTGGACCACAGGCCGCCTGGCACGTCCAAAGCCAACAAAAACTGCCATTCGTTGCACAGCATGCACAAACAAAACTGGGCCCGTTTTCGGATCCCCTGCTAAAGGTGTTCAACTTCTAGTGGGTCAAATTCGGAAACTACCACTAAACACTGAAAGGCCAACAGAAAGAAAGCTAAGGAACCGGATGGCTGGGAGTGATTAAGAAAACTAAATCCCAAAGCACTCTGGAGGCAAGCAACAAGCAAAGTCTGCATGATTGAAATCACTGGATCCGGAATTTGCTTTTGGCACATTCCCGGTTCAGCATCTGCAAAACCCAACCCCTTAGATGTGTGGTTCTCCCCAAAATTATGGATATCTCTAGGCTGTTCTAACTTGTTTTGCTAGTGTGTGAGTGTGTGCTCTAAGACAAATCCTGCACGAGTGTTGAGGGAATGAACGCCCCCTGAAAGACAAGACAGTTTGAAAGGGCATAACTAATCTAGCAATGCCAACGGGATGCAGAATCGGATCACAGAAGGGAACAAGCAAAGCGAGGCTTTGTGACACAGCAACAGTCTAGACATTGGCTCAGAAACACGTACCAAAATGGCCCCTTGGCAAATGGAACCAAAGACCAAAACCTGCGTAACCCTAGCTCTTTCATTTTCATCCCACTCCCCCCTATAGACTAAAATGGGTGGTGAATTCACCCACCCCAAAATGGCATCCCACAACGGTCTTGAGCACCACGGCCATTGGGCAGCCAAATTTTCCCAGACCTGATCACGGCTCCGCGCGCCTGGAGATCGGAAGTCGGGGATGCCGGACTCCACGGAGATGCCGGCGCCCGTGAAGGCGCTCATGGAGCCTACGGGTTGAGCGAGCCCGTGCCACAGGCCCCAAAAATTGAACATGCAGCAGACACTCATGTCGGAGAACTTCCACCTTCTTAGGGCTAGGTGCTCCAGATTTGAGAGGGTAGAAGAAGGGTACCAAGCTTTTTTTTCTGGTTTGTCTATTTTAGGGGAACCCTCCCAACCAAAAAAGGGGAGACAAGGGCACTACCGGACCTAGAGGGCTTCCTGAAACCAAGTAGATGTGTCGGAACCCATTGGACCCTCTCTTCCCTCTAGCTTTCCTTCATGCGTATTGGAATGTTTGTCAGGTCAAATATCCCCTTTAAGCAACCAGAAATCCGGCAAAAGCCCCCCCCAAGTCTTCACAGGAAAATCACCCAATCCAGAGACATACCAGTATTACGTGTTGTTTCAGTGTTTTGATAAGTTGTACATTTAACAAAATATTCATTTTGAGGGACAATCAAACCATCCAATTGCTGTAATTTATATATTGTCCAATTTCCCAATTAACTTTAGTTTGTGTTCTAGTCGTATTCGAGTCTGAAAAAAGAGTCGCGAAAACCGGAGCTGCGACAACTGTTGCTTTTGCAGGTTTACCCAGACCTCCAGTGGCCGCAAAAAAAGGGGGGGGGACTTGGTGATTTTTGTTGTTCTAAGGGTACTCCAATTCCATTCTTTCCAACCATCGTTCTTTTCGAAAACCGGATATCCGTTTCCCTGGGTTTCAATGGAGGTTCTCTAGAAAGATTCGGATCCCTGGAAAGGACGAGGAAGGTAGCACTAGAATAGTAACTTTGAAGGGAACCCCTGCCCCTCTCCAAATAAGCCCCGGTGGCTCCCTCAGCAACCCTTGGATCCTTGCAGAACTCTTCCGGCAAATTCCAAAGAAAGGATCTCACCAAACCGCCGACAAAAGAACAAAAACAAGTCTTTTGATTACACTGATGTAGACTGCCCAAAGGTTTTTGTTTTCCCTCTTGGGACTTCAAACACTGCTTTCAGGTCCACAATTTGTTGCTGTTGACCCCTCCGTAAAAAGTCGTCAACTTTTGTGGGTTTAGTGGAACCCCCCTGCATTTCAATCAAACAAAAAGTCTAAAGATCCAGCCCAATAGCAGTCAAGCATTGGGGGTAATCGAACGAACGAACGTGCCTGCTCGCGCTATGACATCAGCAGCTTTCTCCAAAGATCGTTCCACGGAGTATCCAGACCTGCCGCCACCACTTCCAAGCCTTTCTTTGTCGGAACCTAAACCCAACCGTTCAAAACCGTTAAAACTCAAGGCTTGCCTTTTGGTGGGATACATCTGGGCCTGTCTCATTAGTTTCCCAAGCAAAGCAAGCGCTTTTCCGACGGCCCATTTGAACGAAAGCCAAAGAGGCGGCGAGCCATTTGATCATTCTGCACAGATCGAATGCGCTCCAATGGCGTTCGGTGTCGCGTTCGATGTCAGGCTTTGTGACGCGTCATCAGCCTTGCATCCTGCTTGAAATGAGTACAGCGTGGTTTACAGTGTGCAGGCAGTGCCGAAACCGCGCGTGAGAACAAGTTGCAAGGCCTAAGGGCCCAAGGTTGCTGATTGGCATGGGAGCATGAAGCCACAATAGCGACGGGTCTTTGGCAGTCGAGCCCAAGCAAGCTTTGGCAGGTAAAACCGCAAGGGGAAATGTCCCTTCAATTTCCAGCCAAAATCATAACCAAAGTCGCCGCCTTGCGGCCGTGGCGCGCCTGCTTGCAAAAGGCGCTTCCTCTTAGAGGCTTCAAAAGGTGGCAAAACTTGCTGGTGCGACAGCGGGGAATGTGGGAATGAAGGGAATTCCCCGAGAGGAAGACACGAATGAATGGTTTATAAGCGTTGTTTCCATTTCTCCTTCCCTATCTGTGTAAAGCCCGAGAAGAGGGTTCCAAACCGCTAAGAACTGCCAGCCTAAGAGCCTACAAATTCCAAACCAGTATGGAGGTGTCCGTTCTTTTAGGGCAACCAGTGATTCCGTTGGTGCCCTGAAATGGTCAGAGTTTCGACTATGGATATGTCCGTTTTTTGAGGGGAACCCCCCAAAATTGTGCTTTTCCTGCTGTTGGTTTCCCGATCAAAACAACCAACAAAGGGTTCCCACCAAAACAAGCCGCACCCAATATGTCTGCAGAACATTCCCCACTACCAGTCCATGCGCGATCAGTGCAATGGACATTCAGGCCATCAGATGATGTGTTTGGCAGGCTGCCCATAGCAACCGCTGGTTGAGAGGCCGAAATGCCAAGGCGAGAACTGTCAAGCCGCAACTAGATGCTTTGGGCCCAACACACACACACGCAAAGACAATCATTTGATCGGCCGATTTCTACCTGGATTGCTTCATTAACCAACACCAATGCCGCGAGAAACCCCTAAAGCATGGCATGGGTTTTTCAGCTGCACCCAACAGCACCCGGGCCTCTCCGGATTCGTCTGCACGCTGGACGAACCACCCATGGCGCGAAAGCCGACCAGCTAAGATGGAGTAAAAATACCAGTTTATCTTGCTTCTTTTGTTCCGAAACACCTCTGGTTCGCATCTGTTTGCCTCAGGCGTCTCCATGAGGATGTGTTTGAGGGCGACAGTTGACAGAAGGCTTCGCCAAAAGCCAATTGACTGCCAGTATCGCAAAGTGGCCATGGGAAGAAAGGGCGTCCTTTTTTGCTTGGCTGAGTTTAAAGGGAAACCGTTCCCAAAAAAACACACCACTGGGCAACAGGGTTCATAAGCCGGAAATATGCTTGAGGACTGAGCGCAAAAGGCCCGCAGGAGTATAACAAGATGTGTGCCTTCTGTAGCCTGCAAGAATGGCTTGGCTCCTTGATGCAAATGGAGGTCTGAACTTCTCAGCAAAGCGCTGCGGCATAAGAGACACGGGGGCTTGGCAATAAATATCTATGTGCCAATACTAAGTACCCAGATGTAGGTTTTTGTTCATCCACAGGGGCCATGCAGGGACCATGTTTGAAAACATGTTGCGCCTGAAGACAGGCCAATGGGTCCATGATTCAGGCCACCAGACCAAAACTTGACCCCCAAAGCGATGGCGAATGTTTGGCTGGCCCTGCGGAAAGCACTGAACTCTTGGTCGTGAAAAAAGTTCAAAGCAGCCAAACTGCCAAAACATTCTCAGCGCACTCCTTGTCCCAGGTGCTTGGTGTTCGGACGTCGGCAAAAACAGGATCCCTGTTGAACCGAGGCACAGTGCATTGACTGGCTACAGCCTGTGGCATATCTCGCCTGTGAATTTCAGTCAATCGGCGATGGAAATAGGCACCACTTGCCAAGGCGTACACCTTGGTTCATGGGGTCAATGGTTTCACGTGCTTTCGCCCAAGGAGGCCTGCGCATGGGCAACACGGAGCCCCCAATTTCCAATTTCCTCCTCCCCCCCCGCCCCCGCAAAACCAACGAACACACACGACCAAAATAACCGCCCACTGAAAGGAACCGCACGACCTTTAAAAGGTCCGAGGGACGGAAATGGAAGCCCTGGAGGGGACAAATGGATTCGATCAGTCACAGCAAGTGTCGCAAGTGCCCCAGCCTACATGCGACACCATTCAGCTATCTGAATGGAATTCTGCAGTCTGCAGTCTGCATTCTGTGTGGGTGTGCGCTTTCAGAATGATTCGCCTTCTTGCAGCAGACGTGCCGGCGAATCGCATCCTTCGATTTATGTACGTGCACTAAAAGGCTTAAAGCTTGAAGTTTCTTGGAAGTGCCCTTCCGCTGAGCACAAAATTGATGTGACACAAAGTATGGCCTGCAACTCAGTGAGCTGAGCGCTTTTGGCCCAGTGTTGACCGCCCATTCTTTGGGTGATAAGCCGATGAGCCGAAAACGGCGCCGGTGGGCAATTCGAGGCCTCGGAAGGGAGGACTGCTGGCTATGTTGCTGCAAACCAATCGAATTCCAAAGGCAAGGATTCGGACTGAACAACATGGGAAAAACTTTGTTGCTGTTGACCCCTCTGCACAAACTGTATATCTTTTTGTGGGTGTGGAAAACCCAACTTCATTTCAACCAACAAGTTAAAGTCTAAAGATCCGTTGCCCAATAGCAGTCAAGGTGTCAAAGGTTGACCTCGCTCCAGGTTTGGTAAGGAAGCAGAAATCATGAGAGGAAACTCGCTGACCTGCGGACTGGTTAGCGAGCGCGGCCACCTGTCCGTCCGTGGTGGCCAGGGCCGCCGCCGTGGCCAGGGGCGCAATTGCCGGCGCCAGCGCGCTGCTGTCCAGCTTTGAGGCCAGCTCTGCGGTGACTCTGTCGTGCAGGGACTGGATGGCAGCCGCGTTGTTGCCGGAGGCTGCCGTTCACCGCCAGGTCCGTCACTTGCGCGTATGGCGTGAGAGCCAGGGCCAGCTGCCCACAAAGCTTCGATAAAATGGGTCCACAAGCACATTCCTTTCGGTGCCAGTCGCAACAAGAAATGGGGGGTGTTGTGACAATAGGACAACCGCAGACTTTGTGGCTCTCAAAGAGTCGATTTGCTGTGTGACAAAAAGGAGGGCTTACAAGTGAGACGACTGCATCCAGCGACAATGCGCCCCTTACCTTTCAAACAGGTCGGCTGGATGAGTAACGTCGGATGGCTTCGATTGTTGCACGGTTCACCAACATGGATGCATCCGAAATTTAGGGAACCCTCCAAAAAGTAGATGTACGGTGGCTTCCTGTTTTGACTCTGCTTGACCTGTATAGAGGACCTCCATAAAATCTTTGAACTAGCCTCTGATTAAACATAATTTTACTTGAAGACATATTTTCCAGCAGCGGTCTGTAATCTCTCTCTCTGACTCCCACACCCACACATACGGGTTCCAAATGGAATTTCCTATATGAAGATGCAAGGGGCGAATTTCCAACCCTCCCTCCACCCACTTCCATTGTTTAGGTGGGCTGAGCTTGTCTGAAAGTGAAAAAAGCACAATCAAGAGCAGTCCTTTTCAGAGCCTCTTTAGAACCCCCAAAAGGGTACCCCCAATACACACAGTGGGTTTTACACCAGCCATCAGCTTCTGTCTGACAACAAAACAAGTTCGGGTTGATAACCTCCTGATTGAATTCTCGGGGTGTTTTCTGGAGAAAAAAAAAGCATCCCTCACTTGGGTGGCCCCCCTAGGGGGGTTCAGTTACTAGGTCCTCCAGAGAGGTTAGAAGAAGGTAACCCACTTTTTTCTGCTGTCTAACTTTAGTAGGGGACCACCCCCAACCAGAAAAGAAACGGCCAAAGGGCACCCGATCGCTGGGGGACCGATCGGTGGTTAGTTGCCCGCCGGAAGCGGCCCAGGGTCAAAAAGCGCGCGCACCTCCTGCCACGCAGCTCTGGCCTCTGCATACTTCTGCTGCCTCGAGCATTTTGTGAAGAGCTTTCCGCACGGAAAAGCTAGCCGCGAGCTGTTCTTTCTTCTTTTTTTTTTGGGGGGGGGAAGTAAGTTGAAAATTCAAGAGTACACATAACATGCGGGGTGTGTTGAGGCTTTTCCGCAACAAGAGCTTCTGTCTCTAGGTTTTTCTTCAGGGGTTCCCCTAGTTGGCAAATTGAATCAATGCAGATAAGATAACACATGACACCTTCTAGTGCCTTCCGACCAGTCGGAATTCGAAGCCTCTTCTCAGAAGCGATTTGGGGTAAACGACCCTAGTGTCTAAGGGTATTTGCCAACCTCGCAGGAAGGGTTTTGGCTTGCAAATGCGCAAACGTAGACTACTGTTCCTAGTTCCTACTATGCTAGTAGAAGCAAAAGCAATGGCTCGAACATATGAGCTACGGCAGCTATTTGTTGCATGGTTGATGGTCGGGTGTTCCCACTTCGGTCTCCAACTCTGTACTCATTTGGACTCATTGACCTTGTTTTCCAACGCGTTTGTGATCTCAATCACCTATATGTCATGGCCCTATCTCGCTTTGGGAGCGTGCCTGCCTTGTGCTGCAGCTAATTCAGTAGGTTCGCCCGGCCTTTACAGTAGTCTTCTGATAATAAAGGCAGATGCTCATGAACATGACAACACAAGAGCTGCACAAACTTGGCCCCTCTCAAAGTGAGTGATACTCACTAGAATGACGTATTGAGATCTTAGTTGGGGCTGAACATCAGAGTCGGTCGGAATATGGCCACGGATTCACTCGCAATCATTTGGCTGGTAATTGTTTCTGGACTGATTTCACTGCAAGACAAGAGCATCATCTG